CTTTAAACTGCACGACTATCTGACGTCGCAACGTAATGGGAACGCGCCCTTAGGCCGCTTGAGCCAATCTATGTGTAGCTTTGGTAAAAAACTTGAATTGCTTTTATCGTTCTTACATTCAACGCTTTGCAAACAAAGCTTGTTTGAAAGCTTTAAAGTTTTAGTCATATCGTGCGTAAATTGAGTTGGTAGTGAAAGGTTCTAACGAGTCACGTGTTGTAACTCGTGGTTATTGAAAGCTACATTGCTAAATAATTTATTATGTTTTAAAGATATTATTATGTTGTATGTGGAGTTATCGTATTATGTTCAAGGACGTACAGGATGTTCCAGGGCCATGCGACACGGAGGGAAAGCACTTTAAATGTTGTAGCTAGGATATTTAGATGTTTTTTATATGATGCCAAGTGACCTACATCTGCCACCAACCAGTAATGTGAGCATTATTGCCGCATATATACAATATAGCCGAAATAGACAAGGTGGCAGTACTTCCCTGGACAAACTTTTTCACAAGGAGCTCTACTGCTACGAAAATGCCTCATGAAGACATTATTTATTACGTTTAAAAATAAGTTACATACAAAGAAGCTGTTTGATTTACCTACCGCACACACTCAACATAGCCCCGCACTAGGGAAACCCTGTGTCGCGGGTGCCATGGACACACATAGACAACCGCAAATTACACCCAAACTCACGAGAGAAATAAATGTAGGCCATACAAATATTTCTCCCGGCCCGGGAATCGAACCTGGGACCTCTGCGTGGCAGTCCGGCATGGTAACCGTCCGGCCACAGAGGCAGACCTGGGAGTCGGACCGGCCAAATGTGAAAAAAATTCTGTATTTTTATTACGCTGATTAAAAACTTAATTTAAAAAATTGATTCCTTTTAAATAGCATAGTATCTTTTGCATGGTAGTACACACTTTGCCGTATTCAGTTCTTTTCCAGTTTCATCTAGGGTCCTAATTAAAAATTCATCTTCAGTCAGTATATCGTTATTAAAGTTCGCTGTAAAGACTTGCTGGAATAAAAATTGAAACATTATTTTTATGAAAGATATTGATAATACAATGCTGGAAGTTATTTGTGCTATAAATTATTGTTTACGAAAGAAGTAATTCTCAAGAAAATAAATTCTTCATTCCTTGTAACAATGTTTGTTTGGAAAAAGCAGTTAATTAAGTATACATGATGACAGTCTGTTTTCTTTTATAATTGCTGATACCGCGACAGGCGTGTACATAGTTTATGACAAATGACAGATATCCGCAACTTTTTTTCTGCGTCGGGCAGAGTTGGCTGTGACACTTTGAAATTAGTTTTGTGTTGTGAAAAATGAGTGTCCTCCCGACGACATTATGTTTTTATTGGAGCTGACATCGCGGTGTACAATACAAATTGTGGTCATAATGCAGAGCTCGTTAAGGCTGAAAAGGACATATCTGCAAATTGCTGATGTTATATTTTGGGCGGTTCGTTAAAAACTTTGGATTCAGAATGACCACCATACGTGCTACTAGGGGAATCATTCCATCAATTTTGCAAGGGAAGTCTGCCATCATGCCTATTTCTGCCATCATGAACTAATGTGAACATTACAGCTTTCTGGCTTTAAAAGTTAAGAGTGTTGGTGAAATTACAGGCACATGGGACTTGTCAACTTTATGTCTCAAGGTGAGGGGCGTAGTGGCAGTGCCTCTTAGATTACTGCTTGGCGGCAGAAATAGTAATGTGGCAGTATTTCCCTGAACGAACTCTTACACAAGTTCTACTGCTGCATAAACTGTTATAGATAGGCGTGTCGCTCACCGTATCACTAGGCATATGACTTGTTCCTCCCTTTACTTATACAACAAAAAAAGGAAATCAATTTGTGTATTACTACACTGCACGGCGTAAAAAGTACTGACGATAAAAGTGAGTCCTTTGAAATTTGAATATTGAATATTCAGAGCAACCACCCGGTACTAAAACTTTTAGGTGACCCAAGGTTCGTGAACTGAAGGACAATCATTAGATTGCTTGTCTCAAAACATTATATTATTCTGTTCTGTATAATATTCCTATTTGTTTGTCGTTGTCAAAAATTGAAATATGTAGTAGCAGCCGCGGACTGTTGGCTGGTGTCAGCTCAGTGATAATTGGGTTCAGGAATTGTGTAGCGACTATAGGTTTATTACCTTGTCGTTATTTGTAGTCACAACATTTCACAGTATCGTAGTCATGTATTCCAGATTGTTTGTTAAAATGTCAACATCGCTAAATGGATGATTATAGTATATATATATATAATATATACGATAATATGATTTAACAACGTTATCACAAATTTTTATTCCAAAATTAGATGAAAAATCACTTTGGTCTTAGTAATATAATAAAACACTAATTATTTATTTATTTGTTTATGTACCTGGTGGTAAGTGACACGCCTGTCCATAACAGTTGCAGTACCAGTATGAAAGGATATTAGGTCTATGATACATGTCTGAATCGGTCATTCCTGATTTTCTATAAATGTTCTAATTTATAATTTGTTGCAGTCAGCAATCTTTAATTTTCAATTAAGTTCTGTTAATATTAAAAGAAAAAAGAAAGAAAAAATGTTTACTCCGTAAATGAATTACAGCACAGTATACACACATTTTATGATTTATTACACAATACAATACTATTATATCTGTTCGCTTATAATAATAAATAATATTAGATAACAATGGTTGATTGATTAAAAGGGTTATTTTAAATGGTATTCTAGTTTTAGATCTAGATCGATCTAAAACTAGAATACTATTTACAAAACCATTTTATTTAAAATTCTGAAAGCGCGAGAATATGTACATATTTATTTACGATTTTGGATATTATTTGTAGTTTGGTATATATATTTTGTTTTAAATGAACAATAAGTCAACTCTACATTGAATAATGTGCCAACACGACGACATCAACTAGGGAATCCCTGTACTATGAGTAACAACGGAATTCACTTTGGGACACTATCCAGAACACCCATACCACAATCAATTCAGAAAAATTCATTTCGCAAATTGTCTTACTTGTCACTGTAAACCATTGGGCCACCAAGGTCATAAAATTACAATATTCTTAAAGATATCCAGGCTTAGATCAAAGGTATAAAAGTTCAACTTCAACCTGCAAGGTTAATAGCAAATTAAAAGTTACTTATCTTTAGTAATTTTACCAGGAACCCAAAACAACAACGAAGTCGATGATTACACTCTACAAAATGTCAGAAAATAAAATGCAGGCTGTTATAATATGGTCGGTATAGAATTATTACCTGAAAGTTGCCTTAAATCATTTGGACGAGGCTATTTTTGGCGTAACGGATTTTTAACACCGGAAGCGCCGCCATGTTGCGTGGATTGACTAGCGGAAAAGAGGCGAAACGTTGTTTCCTTCCAAGCGAGTCAGTAATTTTTAGACAGTTATGTATTATTACAGTAAACGTCGGCCATTACTTTAAGCATGAACAAACTGAGTCGATGTACAGGGTAAACGAACAGCTTATTTGCATACAATTTTCAATACTTTATAAAAAAGAGAAAGAATAAAATTTGTATAGTTATTTTATCCGATTAAAACGTTTGGTAGGTGAAATACCAATCGTAGTAAATCTGTGACCTAATAACACAGGGAGGTGATCATGGCTTTATCCCTTACGTAAATCAGTAAGCTATAAGACCCTCAAATATATTACGAGTAATATCCTCAAAGGCAGGACAAAGTCAAGTGTCTCCCGAAGGAACGAGGCTATCTTTGGTATGCCTTTACAATGCCCTGATAACATTTTGGTCGCACTGTAGCCATAAATTTAAGCTTCTAGCCCATTGGGTTTCACTATGAGATGGTGGTGTCGAAATAGATTTATCTTCATGGATTTGGTGCAAATCTACGATGATAACCCTGTCGTAAAAAAAGTGAAATTTGTAGGCAGCTTGTTGACCGGAAAACTGTATTGCGTGTCGAAGGTTGCCCGGAAACGTCGTGACCTATTCACATCCTGCCCCTTACACTGCATATAAGGAAAAGTACACCTATGATTGAGAATAACATACAATTATTACATACAGGAAGTGTTATTATCCCATTTATTGTTCTGTGGATTTCCACAAATATAAGAAAACAGTCTTTCCGCTTTTAACGATTATTCAAAAGTACCTTTTGCGATGTACTATCGGTAAATGACTTGAGCAAACCCGAAAAAAAAAAATGTTTAAAATATACTTTACATATTTTAACTAACACCTAACGCGTATAATGAAATAAAATAGCTTTTATGCTACGCTTTTGAAAACTCGGACATATTTTCTTGAGTTCTTGCAAGGGGTCAAGAGCGTGTCACGCTAAGATTTAAATTCAACTTATATACTTTCGATAAAAACAGCTCAAATTGTGAAGCTTGATGCGCTCTTGACCCTACAAAATCTGCAATCAACCAGTTCAGGAAATTGCACGGGAAGAAAATAAAAGGACCTTACAATATGTACGTTATAAGTCTGGATATAAATGGAAAGGTGCCTCGTGTAACTCGTGTAAGCAAACCTCGTCTCACTCTCGGAACAAGAACAAATAGGAATGGGTCGGTAGATTTACTTACAGAATTTAATTCTTGCGACGAGGGTTAGAATTATTCATTCAAAATGGAGAAACTTGCGGACATTTTGCGCTTTCGCGATCTGCGTTTGCGGCCGGTTAACGATATTACCGCCCTACTCACCTTCACCTTTGAATTTCTTGGGTCTAATGCCTACTACGTCGTTTATTTGATAATACATATATATTTTGGACGAAGGAAGGAATAAATATTAAGAGTAGGGTGTGATTGCAGGTCAATATAATTATTTAAAAAAAACACACCGAATTGCACGTACTAGTCTTTTTAATGTGATTTGCTGGAAAATACCGAGGCTGCAACCAGTCAAAATAAACGTGTACAGTTATTCAGAATTCAGTTGAAATGCACAATCTTTTTTTTCATATGAAACTCCAAGTTACCTCAACGAAAATCATACACACACTTAGGCCTTATAAAAAGGCACGCAAAAGCAGAGTAATTGCGTCTTCTGTTCCTGAAATCCGGTAGGATTTCTCTTACTAAAAGCATTGAAATAGTACTCAAATTATTACACTTATTTCGCGTCTGGTATTCGGATCTGTGATATTATTTATGGCGTGAAGGTAAAGGCGCTGTGTCGGCGAGAACAGTCATCTGTAACAAGCATTCGACATTCCAATGTGAAATTTTTCGTACAGAGTATTTTAACGAGTGGAGGATTTATTTGTAGCTTTCAGCGCGAGTGTTGTAAGGCGTTGAACATTCGATCAGAGCACGTGACATGTTAAAAATAGTGTATGTGTCACGATAACAGCATTCATTGTAGTTGCAATGAACAACAATACAAACCTTAATACAGGGCTTAATGTATCAACCCGGGCTTGCATCTTAAAATACTTATTAGACGCAATTTACATTACCGCGGAAGGGAATGAAAGCGAGATTTTGTAACGAAACTTGTGTAGCGTACAAACTAGATACGATACTGTGTATGCGTGAGAAGTCTATGAAAAACGCACGACCTGTTTTTAGTATCTAGTTTGTATGTTACACAATTGTTACCAAAATTCGATTTAATTTCGTTTCGTGGCAATGGAAATCGAGGCTTGCAAGAGAATAATTTTGATTTGAGACATATCACGGAGATTTCGGTTGGGTTTGGACGGTAGAAATATCTAGTATAAAGAATTGTTACGGGGCTGTAAGTTTTAGTAGATGCTACTATCCACCAAACTCTGCCACAAAAGCTGGTTATTTAATGACTTCGGGATTGTTTTTATAGAGTATATTTTTCCGCTTGTTTCAGCCTGCAGCCGTCCCCACCGGACAACTGGCTCACAATGGGGCTCGTTAGTAAGCAACATAGCGGACGCACCCAACTGAAAGGTACACGTACGTTCTAACTGTAATATTGGAATCAACGTTAAACAACGTTTTGTTCAATTGGATCGTTTGATGCTTTTTTGTTTCATGAATTTTCACTATGCTATTGACTAATATATATCATATTTTCGTATGAAACAATTCATATAATATCGATCAAACTTCACTACTACGCAAAACAACGATTTCAACGGAGTTCCTGTTCTAAATAAACAAAGTATTATCAAAATACTGCCGACGTATACTCACGTCACTTAATCAAGTAACACTTGCGGATATTAAGTTGTACTCCATACGGATATCGTAGCGGATTTGATGATATATCAATCAACTTGGTAAAAAGGGCTGACTGTCGACAACCGGTGGATTGTGGCCGATCCACTTAAGGGGTTGTGTCTAGTGACATGAAGCTTGACAATGTTATTGCGTAGTAAGTTTTGATAACATATTTTCTTCTTCTTCTTCCTATCGTATCGATGGCACACATTATACTAAAAAAAGTTTAGAACAAACATGATACTACGAACAGTGTCTTCAAATGTGTCGATACTTTGAACACTGACCAACCTTTGGCGCAAAAGAGTACCATTTAACTTTGTACCGCCTTCTGAGAGTCTCGCTCCTAAACACGAATTGGCACGGCCGATCTGGAAATCTATGTTTCGGACTCAGGTTGTACGGAGTAATGACACGTTATTCAGGTGGGGATTTTCATATGGTCCTAAAATGTGAATCGCATTCAAACGATGGCCCATCTCATATCGTGCCCTGCGTGCCCTAATACCTGCACGCACGAGGATTTAAAGGCGGACCGGTGACGCGGTCGGCGTGGTTGAGTTCTGGGCCACAATGATAATGGTGTATCGATACGATAAGTAGACAAATTTGCTGACTATTTGACTGATTTTGTAATTTATTACAAATATATTACGTAACGTACCGACACTGGAGCTCAGATCGCGACCGAAATAACGGAATTCGACGACCAACCAAAATTACCGACGTAGGCAAAAGCATAGGTGAGAAAAGTACCTAAAGATGGGCAGGCTACTTTGTAAGACGGAAGATGGCCACGAGTTATCACAGAGTGGCGACCAAGAGCAGGAAAAAGTCTGTGAGCAGAGCTATAACGTCAAACCCAAGGTCAAACGAAATTGCGGTCGCAATGGGAAGCTATTGGCGTAGGGTGGTAAGGGATCGAGTTGATTAGCGTGGAAAATAGGTGGTATATATTCAGCGGTGGGAGATTATGGTCCAAGATAGACGTTCTGTGTACTTACACATAATTGACGACCTCGGTGGCGGAATGGTTGGATGAGGGGATTCTGGGTTCGTTTCCCAGTGGGACCAATTTGTGAAATATATTACATAACTTGAAATATAACAGAAAGTACAATTGAGTATGGACAAAAAGGTTAATGGTTAAATTATATTATAAATTATATGAATGCATTGCTGATTTTCAGTCTTCGTCTGTATCTAGCTGTTCGCTTGCTGCACCAGGTTAATGTGCGGAGTGTACAACAATTATATCTACCTTAAGTAACAATTAGTGACAATTTAAAGTTTAAAGGTTTTAAATAAAATTATTTAAATTGGTTCTGGTATGAGCGTCCTGAGCAGTGCCTCGGCACATTATTACATTATTACGTGACAATTATTTTATTATCTTATAGTTTTTTATCGTTACAACAAGTATTAAACATTCAAAGACGACTTAAAAGCACGGCAGCCTTAACTTAATCAAATTGATTAACTCGGAATATTTATTTACGTGTTAATTAAAAGCTTCGGTTTTAGTCAGCAATTTGATTAGTGTTAGTTAATGGTCAACAATGTGCTTGGTTTTACTTTGTGTTGAAAATTACGTGGCTGTGTAATTGTAACCGCCAAAGCTGTGCACTGTAGCAATGCCTTCTAATTAGCGCGAGCGTAAATTGGTTTAATGGAGCAAATTCATTTCATGATACGTCAGCTATTAAAAGTTCTGGTACATGAGATTAAGATTAATTAATAGTGCATAACTAATAACACTACGTAATAATAATCTCTTATTATACTGTCAAACTACTTTAAATGAAGAAACAAAGCATAGGTACATTTTTAAGATATAACAGCTTTATTCGGATAGCCTTTCAAATTATCTAAAATTTTTTTAGAAAATCCAGCATTTTATTATATTTAAATTATTTTCGCATATTATCGTATTTTTGTTAAAGCGATAGAAAAACAAATAACGTGACTGATTTGTGATAAGAGTGGAGAGGCCCCAGTGTGGCTACAAACGCTGGTTCGAGTGCAATCAGATCGAAGGATTTTTTCTCTATGTTGTTTGATCTTATGTATATATGTATATATATCTTATTATACATTACACCAATAATAATAATCAATTAGTGGAGTATTTTCACAAAAAATCAACATGACATTCAATAATATAAATATTGCTCATAATAGGAAATGAAACTATTTTTCCGGATTTAAATCGCGAATATTGCTAATAATAGCTTTTTAAACTTTAAAATTGCGATTAAAAAAAAGCGATTGAATATTATTGACAACTCTAGTGGTCTCTTTCTAATAAAAAGCAACATTGATTGTGCATCATATTTCGAAATATTTGCCAAATATTTTTTTTTTATAATGGAAATAAAAGCGGAATTCTTTAGTATAATAAAATGAAAACGACCTATAAACTTTGAGAAGTATAAAATTTTTGATGAATTAAAAAATGTATCTGAGATACTCTCGACCTTATGGCAACCTGTCCATTGAGTTTCAAGGAAGTTTGACTTCTGTATATACCTTTATCACTATTTGCCATTTGTCAGTAAAAGAGTTTGTTTTTTTATAACACCAAGTGACTAGATGAGCAAGCCGTACGCTTGGTGGTAAGCGACACGTCTGTCCATAACAGTTGCAGTCTCACACAGAGCTTTAAATCATAAAAATCTGCGCCCGTCACTCT